CGGCATACACATGTTTAATAAATAGCATTATTATGAAATATGCGGCATACACATGTTTAATAAATAATATTATTATAAAATATGCGGCATACACATGTTTAATAAATAACATTATTATAAAATATGCGGCATACACATGTTTAATAAATAACATTATTATAAAATATGCGGCATACACATGTTTAATAAATATTCTAAAGAAAGGCTTAAATATAACTATAAACACTACATCTTTAAAATAATATTAATGATAGTAGTCGAATAAAAACACCGGGTGTCTAAAACTGATGACATTAATGACAACAGGGAAGCGTTAATGTTATTATCTAGTGTTGGGTGATCACCTAAAATGGAGAGCTTTCTTTAATAGAGTTCGTAATACTGTAGATCCGGTATGGGCTAGTTGTCATTCTCACTCAATAGCTAGTTTTGTTTTTAGTATTTAGAATATTGCGAACGCTGATGACTGAATTTGAAGCAACTCCTGAACGTTCGTAATTTAACAACATTTTGGTTTTCGTGAACGTTAGATAATGTCTACGATAATTAAACAAGCATACACACTCACCGTCCAGAATATCTTTCACATCATCCCGATACCAGATTAAACAAAAAATACTGCGCATCTTATCTTACATAGGAACAACTCTAAGGAAAGGATCTTTACTGCGCATATTATCTTACATAGGAACAACTCTAAGGAAAGATTCTTCATCCACTTATACAAGTGACCATCATTGGTATTCCATCTTTTAATGAGCTAATATTAAAGTTAGAAATACCCTGCAAACTGTATTAGAAATCACCAGCACTGAAGTAAATCCATTGTTTCTTTAGCGAGCCCAGTGGTGGCGTAGGAAACTATCCGTCATCCCAGTTATAAGGGTTCAATACGGCCAAAATTAGAATGAAAAATACCTCGTACTTTTTCTTATACAATATTAGAATAGCAGAATGCCATGCATTCTTTCTTTACAATAGTCACAAATTAGAATAGCAGAATGCCATGCATTCTTTTTTATACAGTATTTTAAAACTAAAATGCTAGAATACCTCGCATTTTTTCTTGTACAATCTTCCATTTTTAGAATAGAAAAATACTCTGTATTAATTCTGTCATACAATCAGCTAGTATTAGAAAAGAGAACTCCTACATTCTTTCCTGTACAATGGTCCAAAATTAGGGAAAAAAAAACTACCCCACATTGTTTCTTATTCAATCGGCCAATATTAGATTCGAAACATGCCTCGCAT